GTAACGTCCAACGCGATCATCGATTTCAAAATTGGCGCCGACGGAACGCCGGCGCAGCCCATCACGTATTCGATGAAGGCTGAGATATGGTGGGAGCAGTGCAGGTGCTCAATGATCTCATTCGCCGAAGATCGAACGGCGTACTGATGAGCAGTTTCCCGACACTACAAGGGCAGTTGCATGAATCGCGGAGGGTGTAATTCGGGCGGTGAGTATCGCTTGGCGGTCACGCCGCGTTGCATATCAGAGTCGTGTTCGCCATCCTAGATGAGACCGACACCAGAACTGCGCGCACGCGGACTGTTGCCACAGTCGTTATCAAGCGCTTCGTCACGAAGTCAGCCAAGCACACGGCTTCGGTACGCACCTGCTCCTCTCATTGATCCTACCATCCTACATACATTGGAGGACCGTTTTCACGCAGACGATCATCTCATCTCACCACCGCCTCCGCCCTACTCGAAGCGCAGTAATTGAAGCAATCGGAGGTAGCAAAGCATGCCCGGCATGGCCGTGTACGGCTCCACACACCGGCTAGGCCTTCATCAACGGCGATACCTCACCTTTCCCGACGCAACTTCCCGTCCAAAAAAACCAACCTCAAGGCGAAGGCAACCTCTCGGGGCGAGCACGCGATCGGACGGGTCGATAGGAGTCGTACGCGTATATGCGAGTGGTGGCGGGTGGGTAAGGCGGGTAACATGGGAGTATGCATCATTGTCGTTGAGCCTGAGGACTACATCAGCATTCATATCGTACGACAAGTATTTACTATCGGATTTCATTGACCAGCACCGTCGTCTTCGACTTGTATTTCCAGCTAATATCACTATATGCGCTAAACACGACGTCTGTAGACCCCGGCACGTCACCAGTTCACGTCAACCATATTCATGAAGATGCCCGGCCGTAGTGAAAGTTGGACAACAAGATACCTCTCCACTCCACGATATCCAGCGAACCACGCACCGGCCCACTCAGGATAAGCTCTCCTCGTAGCACTCGGCCCACTTCTCGCCGTGAGCAAAGTTGCTCAGATCAAGCGTGGTCACCGCACCCAAAGCTATGATGGTCCGCCTGTTCTGCGGTCTCCATATGTCACGATTCTGAAGCGGTATCCAGATCAGGCGCCGATCGTCAGGTCCCATGAGCCAGCCGTCGTCCTTCAGCGTGAACGAATCGTCGATTTGGAACCGTGACATCTGTTCAGCGCCAGGGACTATGAGCTGGATGTTGGCAAGAGCGTGATTCTTGTTTGGTGAGAACGATGCGGACTGCGGTTGGGTTGAGACCACGCAATCGTCTACTATGCCGGTGAGTGAGATCAAGTGAAACGTTGAGGTGACGCACCCCGTGGTCCCTCGACATCGTCAGCCTGCCCCGTCGAGGCATCCCAGAACCGGATCGTGTCGTCGTTGCCGCGTGATATGATGCATTTGCCATCTGGTGAAAATGCCACCGTTCGGACCCAACTTGTGTGACCCCGAAACGGCTCGCGAATCGCCTCCCCGGTGACCGCATCCCAAACGCGAACTGTACCATCCTCTCCGCCCGAGGCCACGCAGCGTCCGTTCGGCGAGAAAACGACGGAGCGAACGCAATCGTCATCGCCACGCCAAGGACCGCAGATCGTCTGTCCCGTGGCACAGTCCCAGATCCGAATGACGCCAGCGCGGTCACTGGACACGAGATAAGCGCCATCGGGCGAAAAGGCAACGGATTCTACCGAATCGGTGTGCCCCTCCAATGGCGCGCATGCAGTCTGACCTGTCTCGACGTCCCATAGACGTATGGTGTGGTCCATACCTCCCGATGCGATGTGCTTCCCGTCTGGAGAGAAGGCAAGGGATGTGACCTCATCAGTGTGACCTTCGAGAGGTTCCTGTGAACGCTCCCCGGTGGAGATGTCCCATATGTGTATAGTCTCTTCTGAGCGTGACAATGCGATATACTTCCCGTCCGGAGAGATTGCTGCAAGGTTTGGCCAACGGCGTTGAAAAATCAGAACTTTTTGGAACTGGCGAATCTGTTGACCGGTGGAGACTTCCCACACGCGAACGTGACCGGTGGAGACTTCCCACACGCGAACGTTGCCATCATCCGACCACGACAAGACGTGCAGTCCATCGGGTAAGAACGCAACGTAGAGTACGTAGGCTGTGTGTTCCGGCCAGTGCTGCCCTCGAACAATCATTCCCGTCGAGACATCCCACACGCGAATGTCGTCGTTGTGCCAAGTGACAATACGCTCCCCATCCAGCGAAACAGCCATACTGTCGCCCAGGCCAGCGAATCTTCTGACAATGTCCTTCTCAGTGCGTCGGGTTGAAGCATTCCACACGCGCACAGTCCTGTCGTATGATCCGGAGACGATGTACTGGCCGTCTCCCGAGAACGCTACAGAATTCACCTCGTCAGAGTGACCATGGAAAGTCGTGCAGAGGGCCTGTTCTACCGTGTCCCAGAGATGAATGACACCGTCTCCAGAACCGGATACAACGAACTTGCTGTCCGGGGAGATCGCCAACGCTGTGACACTGCTAGTGCGGCCCCGAAGAGGGGACCCGATAGGCTGGCCGGAGTTGGCATCCCACAGCTTCACGGTCTCGCCGCCCGAAGCAATCCATTTTCCATCCTGCGAGAATGCAACATAGGATATACCGTATGGACGGCCGCGCAATGGCTCGTGCACGAGTGTTCCCGTTGTGGTATCCCATAAGCAAATCATTCCATCATCTGAACCTGAGACCACCCAGTTAGAGTCAGGCGAGAAAGCCACGGAACGGACCCCGGCCGTATGTCCCTGGAGTGGTGGATGGACGAGCTTCTCAGACTGCACATCCCAAATACAGACCGTCGGTGGATGGACGAACTTCTCAGACTGCACATCCCAACCACAGACCGACTTGTAAGACGAGCCTGACACAATCTGCTTGCTGTCAGGAGAGAAGCAACCGATAGAACCCGCGCCATATGCCCTCTGAGCGTGTGAATATGCTGCCCTG